CATGTTTTGAGCAGCTTTTCATTTAACATGCATTTTACCAAGTGTTTATGGTATTTTAAGCTCTTAGTATATAAAAAGAAATAAGAAACGTCCCTTTCCTTATGACCTGTCAGGGAGACCGATGCCTATTGAAAGAACAACAGAAAATGTGAGAAATGTTGAACACAGAGAATGAGGCTCTTCGGTGGCCTATTAGGAAGAGGTGATCTGGGAAAGCTTCCTGGAGGAAGCAATACATGCATTGGGTCTTCAAGAATAAAAATAATATATTTAGGAAATTATTAAAATGGCATATACACACACACACACACACACATATATATAAAATAAAGCCATTTTTAAAAAGCACATTGGGGCTGCCCTGACTGGTGTGGCTCAGTGGGTTGGGCATCGTTCTGAAAACCCAAAGCTTACAGGTTCAGTTCCCAGGCAGGGCACATCCGGGACTGATCCATGTTTCTCTCTAAAAATAAATAAAATCTTTTAAAAAACTAAATAAAAAGCACATTGGGGCTTATTCTTTTATAGCATTGCCACTGTTCTGTAGAAAACTAAGATAGCCACTAGAGAGGCCGCATGAAGAAAAACCAGGGTGCCCCGGCCGGCATTTCCAGGCATCTTTGACCTTCCAACCCATGCTAACTGCCATCTCACTGAATGGCAAGTCTGGCGGATCTGTAACGGGTGTGGAACAAGGCTCAGAGTGGGGTGCAGGCTGGGAGGCCCCAAGAACCCCCCTCCCCCGAATAAACCTAGCTTGGGGGCTGGGAAAAGCAGCAGCACAGAGATTGAGAGTTATTTCGCATGTCAACAATCAGGCTAGCTTCATAGCCTGCTCGGAGCCAGGGAAACGGACATGACTTTGGCCAGTGCTGTAGCTGGGAGGCAGCTCCCCGCTTCCCCCCACCCCCCCCCGCCCCGCCCCGCCCCGCCTCGGACCTTTATAGCACCTGCACGAGAGCTTGGAGATGGTTCGCTCCCCGCCAGGGGGCCATGCCTGCCCAAGCTATGGCAGCCAAGAAAGGCAGAGAATATGGGAGAGCTAGCAGGTGTAGCTGATTGTGGGAGGCATCAGAAATGGGGTTACAGAGGAGGTTCCAAGCTGGGGTTTAAACAAAAAGGTGGCCCGCCATGTGAAAAGGGGGATGGAGACAATGCGGGACCATGCAGGAAGAAAAGGGGTGAAAGGACTCTTGCTCGTGGGTCATGAGGAGGTTCCACGTGGTTTTGGTTTAAGAACTGGAGATCGCGGCGACACAGCTGATCGTGCTAGGAAACTTGGGAGACCTGCCCAGCTGAGCACGGATGACTGGGAGGAACCGGGAGAAGTGAGATGCAGACTTCTGTTTTTGTTTTTGTTTTTCTTCTGGAAGGTGGTACTTCGGGCTGGCAAGCTCTGAGACTGGCCTGACTGGGCAAAGCGGGGAAGGCAGGACTGTGTATTTGCGTGTGTATCTTCGTTTCTAAAGGGAGTGAAATTTAACGGTAGAATTCCACCAATTTTCTAAACCTATATAACTTTTATTCAAATAGTTCCTTTCCATTTTACCAAACTCTGGCATTAAGAGCCACAGTTCCTACTGGTGACGGGCAAACAAGAGCCACTCTACAAGAAGACCCCGGGCGGGGGGTTGTTTCTATAACAGTATCTGGCGCCCAACCGCGGGGCTGATAATTGCCCATGGCAGACTGACCCCGTCAAGAGTGGCAGAGTGAGACTGTGGAATTTTCCCAGTCTCTGAGAATTTCTCTGCACCCTTCTTGAGGGCATCAGCTGCCTAATCACGCCTGGAAGGTAAAAAGGAAATGGATAGGGAAGGGATTGGAGAAGTGAGATGGTTTGGCTGAAAATTTGTTTCTGAGCACTGTTTTGGAATAATGGAGCTGTGGACAGTAGTTTGGTTAATACGCCGCTTCCAGGTTGCTCTGGCCTGCTCGCTTACAGAACCACCCACCAAACCACAAAATCTTGAGGAATAATAAATGGTTGTTGTTTTAAGCCACTAAATAAAAGGCAGAGGCAAAAGAAAAGGAGGAGAAGGGGGAGGATGAAAGGAAATCCTGAGTGGGGAGGGAAAGGGCAATTGAGTTTGAGCAGGAAATAAGGAAAGCAAAAACTTTAAGGGACTTGAATCTTGCTACCCATCTTGGTGTGCCAGGACATAGAGCTGGCATTTATAGAGCACTTCCATTGGTAAGCAATGTTCTAAGCAGTCCCCATTGAATCCTCATAACAACCTGGATGAGGAAAGTGAGATGTAGAGAAAGAAAATCACTTGTTGAAGACCACACAGGTAGTAGGTGTTGAGCCCCTATCCATTGCCCCGGTTCTACTCCTGGGAACCAAAAGAAAAGGAAACTCCATCCTTTCTTTACCATGGCCTCCTTTCCAAGCTGGAGCTGACGTCCGTGAATCCTGATTGTCATAGGTATGCTAAGGTATTCATCCCTCTGCCCTCCTGTCTACTGGAGTTTCCTGTCTGCTCCTGGCCCAGCACAATCAGTGTGCTGTAAAAATATAATTTGCAATGTGCATCAGCTGCTGTAATTCTACCGCCATGCACCCCTGGGCTGGGAGATAGGTCATTGTATGCTTTGCTTTTTAATGTAATTTTGACTGTCTGATATCCTTCCTGCTTTTTGAAGGCTAAGCCATGCAGTTGGCGCATCCCCGCTCCTCCTCATCTCCCTCCCTCCCTCATTTGCAGAATGGCTTGGGAAGCACCCCAGTTTCTTTTTCACCCCATGTGTAGCCACCATCCTGGGAGCTTTTGAGGTTCATGTGGCATCTCAGTTCCTCGACTCCGTCATCTTCAATAATTCTTTCCTCCATTTCACTTCAGCCAGGACCCCACTCTCATATGACTCTTCATCTGAGGTTATTCATTGAGACATCCATCTCTGACGATAACCTCCATCTTTCTGCCTTGCTCTATCAGTGACACGTGTTCCAGGACCTTTAGGCCAGTGACACAAACCTTTCTGGAATTCTCTAACTTACCTATCCAGCATCTATTCTGTGGTCCTTTTTTTTTTTTTTTTTTTTTAAGCACTCTTATAAGATGGGATCTTAAACACTTGTCTGGCAAAATTCCTTCCTTGGATTAAAGCAATTGTTCACTCTTTGTGTGCCTGTATCTTGACTACTCAAACTAACTATAGAAAAGTCACACAAACCATTATATTGGTATCACCATAATCCAGTCTCCATTCTTAATGGGGCCCTCAACCATGTATTTAAAATTTTGCCATATTTCCTGCACTTCAACTTACCACAGTAACTATTTAAAATTCATAGTTAAACTTGACTGTAAGCTTCATGAGGGTAAAGTCCCCGTCTAGCTTTTCACTATCGAAATCTCCAGCACCTTGGAAGGGCTTAATCTACAGGCCCTCAATACATACTGGCTTACTGACTAAGGTATAGTAATAGTGGTAAGCATTTTATGTAAATATTAGTCAATGTTAGCTATATGCTGAGCTCTATTCCATGTGAGTTACATGTGTTAGCTCATTTAGACCTCACAGCCACCCAATGGCGTTAGTTAGGACTTTTGTTATTCCCATTTTACAATTAAGGAATTTTAGAAAGGCAGCTTGGAAACATGAAGTCATAACATTTGTAAGTGGTAGAGTGGATATTTAGTCCTTACAACGCATAAATGCTTAGCATGCCCAGTTGATTTCAGTTTTGGGTAGGTTGAGTTTTATGTGTCTGAGGGATAATCAGGCAGCTGTGCTTCAGATTGGAGCTCAAGACAAGTGAAAATTAAGATTAATATTTAAAAAGGGTCAAGTAATCTGGTGACTTTAGAAAGCAGACTATCGAACCTTGTTTACACCCTCTGCTTCAGCAGAGCGCCTCCAACAGGCCCCCAATGGAACTGTAGTGGTGTGTGTGTGGGGAATGCATTTGGGTATTTACAATGCATCTCCATACCCCCCAAACCCCCAGCCCCCCATGAGCTAAGAGATTAATAATATATTTCAACATGAGGATTGATTGTGGTGTAGTTTTTGGTAACTTCAATATTGGGTAAGGATCCCTCTGGGCTGAAATCCAGCCTTGACTTTTTCTCCTTTTGCTAAAGTGCATTAAATATATCTAACTATCTATCTATAGATAGATAGATAGTTGTTGTTTTTTTTTAGAGAGGAAGGGAAATGCCAATTGTTGTTTCTATTATTTGTGTTCATTGGTTGCTTCTTGTATGTGCCCTGAGGGGGATGGAACCCACAACCTGGTCAGAGCTCTAAGGTTCATTTTTGAAAGCCTTTCTGGACTATCTCGCAGGTAGGGGAGATGTATCATTGAACTGCTTAAGTTTTTCTTTCCCCATCAGTGGCTTCCCTCACTGATTCCCGCTGAGAGACGCTGCAAACAATGAGCTCCTGTTCTGCGTCAGTCTTCACATCTTACGGAAACCTCCTTGCAGTTCTTGAATAAGATAATTATCACCTCCATTTCACAGATAATAAGAGTAATAACATTTACTAAGTGTTTACTATGTCAGGCTCTGTGTCCAGCGTTTTAAAAGTATCATCCCATTTGAGTCTCACAATAATACTCTAAAATTGGAACGTTGTATGGATGGGAAAACGAAGGGTCAGAGAATGGAAGTGTCTTGCCTTAGAATAAACAAGTTAAGAGTTGGAATTTGAATCCAGGTCTCTCTAACCCAGAGGCTAAGGTACCTCATCACTCATTTCTGATGAATTTCGGGCTTTTTACCGTGGAACGGGGGAGAAAGGAGAAGATTTGAAAGAGAATGCTAACGTTGATTTTCACCTAACGCAAGTTCAGCGATTGGCATAACTTGCTCGACTCCCCAGGCCTTACGGATACCAGGGAAGCTGCGCACATGCGCGTGGCCTTCCTCTCGACCCCGCCCCCCACAGAAGGCGCCCCTCCTCGCTTTCAGCTCCGGGGCTTGCGCACTACGTTCCCAATCTGCACCTCCTTCCCGGTATGGGACTTCCGGTGTGTGGGGTGCGGTTCCGGGTCGAGGCACGACTCCGGGCCACAGGGCTGCTGCTTAGCCGGCGGGCGGAGGCGAGCAGCAGGGGCATGAGGGCGAGCCCGGAAAGCGGCAGCTGAGCCGGCCGGGAAGAGCTCCAGTCCCCGAGGACTCTGAGAGTTCGGGGCAGGGGCCCGGAAGCACAGGGGAGCCGGGCCCTCCCTCAAGGAACGTGTCCCGGGGCCGACCCGGCCCGTAGTGTGGCAGCACCTTCAGGTAAAGGTTGCCCCAGCCGCTAGCCTACTCACTAGCGCTTCTGCCAGCCCCCCGCAAAGCCTAGGGGCTCCTCACGTCTCTGCTCTCGGCACTGTCCATCGGGCAGCATGTCTGGCCCTTGCTCAGGTCTCCCTTGAGCATCTGTATCCTGGCCCTTTCCAGAACCGCAGGCTGCTGTCTCTGAGCCTGACAGCTAGCTGGGTGTGTGATTTGGGGGAGGAGAAGCTAGTGGATCTCGTAGTTTGGGTAGGGGAGGGAAGAGGGTTCCATTGTTGGCTCTGGCAGTTTCTGGCCCCACATTCGGCAACATTTAGGTGGCCTAATCTTCACAACTATGAAAATGAGGTTTTCAAATCATTGCCTTTGTGGCCCCCGCGTTCCCAGAGACCCCGCCTCCCTGTTGCCCCAAAGGTGTAAACAGCCTCGCGGAACTGTTTCTTTTCCTAGGTGGAGTGCTGTTGGAACTTGGATTTAGCTTTATATTTTTGGGAGTGGCAAAGAGTGCTCTAGATCTGTTTACGGTAGAAAAAAATGATGGCAATTTAAACGAGAGTATTACTTTAACCAGAGGCCTAAAAGGTTGACTCAGAAATTGGTTACAATTTCATTCTGAATGAATGCAAGTAGATTTTGAAGCTTCTTACAGTACCTGGCGCTGTGCAAAGCATCATGTTGTAAACCAAAACCAGCAAAGAGTGGATGGTTAAATGGAGACAGGTGTTGACAAACAGTAGTTCAAACAAAGCCAACGTTCTCGTTCCGTTTTGACAAGCAAAAGAGGTGGATTCCTAATTTAAAAACCCACTATAGCAGGAAAAGGAGACACCATCTTTTATTCCTCATATACTGTGAGCCCACACAAGATGCTCAATAAATACTGAAAGAGTTCTTGATGAAGCATTGATAATTGTTTTCATATTTTTCAGTTTACACTCTTGCAAGCTTGCTGGGGCCTCCCAGGCCCTCTTCCTGGTCACCTTTGAGCTTCTACCTACTTGCAGCTACTGTGATCTCATCCTGAACTCACATTCCTCTACAACTCGTGATCCTGCCCCTGGCTAACTTTCCAGCTATGCTTGAAAAGACCTTCCTAAGTCGTTCTGCCCTGATCCTTTAGATAATTAGGACCTCAAATCATGTTCATTCTTTTCTTTACCCTTATGTTTTGTAGAACATTCTCCCTGCCTAGAAAGTTTCTCCCTTTTCTGTTGTCCCCTATTGAGATGTTACTCAGGGCCCAGCTGATATTGGCCTCCCTCCACCAATTCTGGACAACCTCAGCTGGAAATTACTTCTTTTCTAGAATCCTGTAAACAGTCATTATATCTATAATTATTTCTCTTAGTGAGTATGGATGTATACCAGGTACCATGCCAGACAATGTAGAGATAAATAAGACTCAGTCATTGCTGCAGGGAGCCCAGTTTAGTGAGGCAGATAAGGAAGTGATACACAGAGTGACACAGAGTGATAAGTACACTGTGTGAGTTTTTTCTGTGATACAGGGGTAGCATAGAAGGGTGGGTGGGTCATTCATTTGTGAGGAAGTAAAGCCTCATAATGTTGGGTTAACTAAGTTTTATTATTTACTATGTACTGGCTATTACATATAGGTTTCTCTTGTTTAATCATTTTAATCTTAATTTACAGAGTAGAAAGAAGCAGGATAAATTACACAGCTGGTGCAAGACAGGGCCAGGATTCAAACCCAGGTCTGTCTGATGTTTACATCTGTGTTTTTTTCATTATATGTTTTGCCTTCTTTCTCATACCATAGCTCTCGATATCAAGAACATGTTGAGACAAATATATAAGACAGAAAAACGAGTGTCAAAAATAATGGTATAGATGTTTTTTGAAATGTAGAGAAGACCATGATCTTAACAAAGCAAGAAAGTGATAGGTGGGTCGGTTCAGCTTTGAATATGAGCAAATAAAACATCTTGTAGAGAGTAACTGTGGACTCTGTACTCAATTCCTGGCTCCTTCCCTCACTAGATATGTGACCTTTGGCAAGTTTCTATATTCTAAGCATTATTTTTCTCCAGTATGGGCTGGGATGGGGGAGAGTGTGGACCTCATGGAGTGTTGTGAATATGTAACCAGCTAATGTGGATAAAAGGCCTGATGCATCATGGTAAGGTCCCTGAAGTGATAACTGTAAGATGCAGAGGTGCAGTGCCTGTGACATGGTTTTAGGGTGGTGAGTAGACCAGCCTGAATAAAGCAAGCCGCTGGCCGCTTTTTCAGTGAGGACACTGGGAGGTAAAGTTGGAGGGTCAGTAGGAGTCAGTGTAAATGAGGGCTTGAGTGTCAGACAAGAGAGGTATATTCCCATTTCTGTTTGTAACTTCTAGTTAATAAATACTTTGTGATTCATTTAGCTGTAAAAGGGAATATGTTAAATCCTGGGGACGCAAAGAGGAGTAAAACCAGGTCCCCACCCTGAGGTGTTGACATACCAGTGAGGGAGACATGTTTGTGTGCAGGTGAGCTGTAGTAAATACTGTAGGTATGAAGATAGCAGTCCCCAGAGGGTACCAAAGATCACAAAGGAGGGAATGCTGATAATAGCGGCTGATGAGCATTTACTGTGTACCAGCGTTTTGTCAAATGTATTATCTCATTTATTTCTGTACAGGAAGGTGTATATTAGCATCCTGGTTTTACAGTGAGGAAACTAGAGCATAAAGAAGTTAAATAAATTCCTTGAGTTTATACAGCTGCCCTAGCTGTGAGAAGAGGAGATTATCTGCTAGACTTTGGTATGTCTACTGTTCAGTACTGCACTGTGTTGTTTCTGCTTTGGCATGTGGATGAAGACCTTCTGGAGAGGCTTCAGAGAGGAGCTAGCCCGTGAGCTGTGTTCCGCGTGCTGGCCACTGTGCTAGACAGTGGGGATAATGAGGACTCATTGCCTCTGCTGTTGTGTTACATATATTTCTTTTCTTTTAATGGGGGGTTTGTTTTGCTAGTTGACACATAATTAAAGACTTTAGAAACTGTTACACTTCAGTGGATTTATAAATGCTTCAGGTTGAGAATTTGCTGGATGTTATTCTGATATATAGGCCTTATTGTTAAAGACATGGCAATAGATACCAAATTATTGTATGACAAGAAATTCTGTCACATTGTTTTTTCCACCCATGGGAGTTGCCATGACATTGTGTTTTCTGTGAGTTCGAAGTTTTTGAGAAGTTTTGATTTAAAAGTTAGCACATTTCAACTTGTGTCAAATAATTGAGCACTTATATTTCGGTCATTGTTCAGTGCTTCTGTAAACTTTGTTTCCTTCAATCTTCATGATTCTGAGAGAGAGGTGGTATTCCCCCTTTTAAATTGCAAGTAGCCTAAGGCTTAGTGGTTAAGTGTGTTGCCCAAAAGTCAAACAGTGAGTGATGACGCCAGAAAAAATTTGGACTTTCCAAAAGAGCCACACAGATTTTATTACATTAGGTTTCTCTGGCCATCTGCCTCAGGGGTCTCCAACTCAAATGCCCATGATGTAATACAGAAAGTCAGACAGACCTTGATGAACTGGGGGGGTGCATGGCCAGTCTGAAGGTATCAGTCACTGCTTGGCTCCAGCTGCTTATTGATCTGTGAGAAAGTAGGCCCATTGTCCCTGGATGTTTTGCTTATTTTCAAGAGATGCTAGGAATCTGGGTTTTAATGTATTCAGTTTAAAAATTTGCCATTTAAAAAAGTATTGTGTGGACCAAAGCACATCTGTGGGCTGTGTATAGTCCTAGGCTGCCTGCTGGTGAACCCTGATTTCCTTTATTGCTAAAATTTTCGTACCCACTGTTCAAAGCAGGAGGTACAGTGCAAGTGGGGAGATTACAGATCAGAAGTCTACTGGTAAATTGCCAGAGTGAAGGGGCATTGTAATTGACTCAGTGATGTTTCTAGGGAAGTGGCAGGGTGAACACTTTTATTATAAAATGAGGCTAAATTTCAGGAAGGATGGGGTTTGATGGGGGGATGATCTTGTAATACTTTTAGCACTTTAAGTGCTATCAGATCTCTTGTCTCTTTGGTCCTCTCCACAGTGCCATGAAGTGAATATAGAGGGTAAACAACCTTTTGAGATGAAAAAAACTGATGCTCTGTGAAAGACAGTTTAGTAGAAAGTACACTACATCGAGAGAGACTTGAAGTCTGACTGTAGGTATGCCATTAACAGCCTTAAGATTTTGGTCAAGCCACTTAGAAGTCTTTGTATCTTTTTTTCCATCTGGATGATCATGAGGAGCTCAGTTCAGGTCTTCTGAGGTCTTCTCAGGATGCCAAGCTTTCTGACTCTGTTTGACATGTTCAAAGTTACACATCTGATGACTGGCAGACCCCAGTAGAGAATGGTTCAGATCTAAAGTGCTGCTTCTCCTCTCTTGGCAGGTAGGAAGCCACCGCTCTGCTCTTCCCTCTGTCCTTTGTTTATTACTACTTTTGGGAAAGGATCTTGACAGGCCAGGTGCTCCCCAATTGCATGCAGTGCTCTGTTGACTATGTATACACACGACTGAAAGGGGACATAGAGACACCCAGCATAGTGAGAGAAATATGGTGTGGGAGTTCCCAGCCCAAGAGTGTAATTTATTTTTATTTTAATACCCAGCTTCCACAGGGTGAAAATTGAAAAAAAAAAGTCTTCTAGATACCTGTTTTCATTCATACCCTATTGTATAAGGAAAAAAACATGGAATATAAAAATAAAATAAATCCAGAGCAGTCATTCAAAACTTATTAACTCTAGTTGGCAGCAGTTTAGATATACTGGGGAAATAGATTTAATATGGGAAACACAAAATTTGGACCCTAAGAAGAAAACAGTTTTAAGTAATCGAAAGTGAGAAAAAATGGGAGAAACTACTTAAAAAAACAAAACTTAAATTCTGGAAACAGCAAGAAGGTATTAGAGTATTGGAATTAAATTACAGTAATTGCTTGTGAAATAAATAGAATGGTATGTCACATTTACCTGTAAATATATGTGATGTTAGGCTCATATCCTATTACTCTAGTATACTTTTATGAATATGTGTTTATTAATGCACACAAAATGGACTGAATTTTACACATTTAAAACAACATTTTTTAGCTCCCTGTGCACTCATTTTAAGGTATATTATTATAAGTAAGTATTGCTTTAGCAAAGAAATGGGTAGAAAGTCATTTGAGGGAATGGTTTTCTTTATAAAACAAAGTAAATTTTTAATGTGATATTTAGTTGCTGACGTAAAAGATTCTAACAAAGAACTAACATGCAGACATGAATCTTGAAGTCACACCCACCTGTATTTGAATACTGGCTTTGTCAGTTATAAACTGTGTGACCTTCATCAATCTGCAAAATGAGGACAATACTGCCAAACTCATACACTGCTTGTGGGAATTAAATGAAATAACTTATGTAAGTACCTAGTATCGTGCTATTTCTGGACAGATGCAGGTACCAGCATTCAGGGACACAAGATGTTCAGATATTATTATAACGTAATAAGAAATTCTGTGGAGTGATTGTGAAGAACTGAGACTCATTTTCATGTCTGGATTGTGAAATTCGTCTTGTTAATTTCTAGTTGTGCTTTGTGCTTTACTTAGCACACCTACCACCTGTGCACTGTGGAGAAAAGGGTATCAGTATGCCATTTATAGACTAGTAAATGAATTGGTCTGTTAATTCACAATAAACACCTTCAGTTGCTTATATTACCTCTTTTTTGTGCCCATGACTACCTGTTGAAGTTGTTAGAACAAAGGATATTGTGTCCTCACTCCCATCTTACAAATGCTGAAACTGAAGCTTAGAGAAGTAAAGGTAGATTCAAGGTAGAGAGCTATCGATAATGGCAAAGGTAGGATTTGAACCCCTGTTATTTTCCTCTAATTACAGTACTTTTGCCACTACTCCGTGCTGTTCTAGATTTGGATATTGGAACTGGCCCTTATTTTGGGACTGTCATCAACCATGGTCCTTCTTACTCCTTTAAACTTAATGCCTGCAGAAAGTTGTTAATTTGATTATATAGTGAGAATGTTTGGTTACAGGTATAACCTTATGATACAAAGTTTAAAGATCTAATTGAATCTAATAACACTGATTGCTGGCAGAAGTTGGTGGTGAGATGGTCACTCATACATTGCTAGTGGGGGTATAAATTAGTCGACTTTCCTGGAAAGAATTTTGGTGGTATTTATCACAAGCCTTGCTAAAATAGGTCATGCATGCTTTTTGAGTAATTCCATTTCTAGGAATTGTTGTTAAGGGAATAATCAGAGGTGTAGGAAGATATTCATGTTCAAATATGTTCACTGCAGCAGTACTTATAATAGTAAAAATTAGAAACAGCTTTAGTATTTAACAAAGAGTTTACAGAAGTCATGGAAAAGCAATAGAATGGAAATATTGTGCAGCCATTTTGGATGTTTTAGGAGAATTTTAATGATATTATTATGCTTATGTAACATGAAGTGAAAAAAGGGTATATAACTATAAAATATGTCTCTGTTATGTCATACATAAGAAGGAAAAGAAATAGGTGGTAGGATAATAGGTCTTTGTGCTTTTCTCTGTTTTCCAAAACATTCTCTGATAAACATGGGTAGTTTTTAATAAAAAATTTTTTTAAACTAGTATTAAAAAATATAGAGCCAATGAACATCATTTTGACTAAAAAAGATTTCACTCATGCAGATGATCTGAAGTTATAAATGGATTGTATTTTCAAGGTAGTTTCCACCTCTGTTTTACACTTAGAATTCAGTTTCAGGTTTCTTAAAAATGCCTTCCTCTCCTCCCCACAACATCATATTTAAGGCAATGTTATGGAAGAAGAGTCATATTCATGTTAGATGATGCCAGTGTCCCAGTGCTGCCTACCAGCATCACCTCTTTAGTGGCCAGTGGGGCAGTGAGTAGCCCTGTGACACACAGGTGTGTCTTTCAAAGAGAGTGCACTTCTGTCTCCGTGAGGCTGCACCTTGTTGTGTACAGGGGGAGGCAAAAGTAGGTTTACAGTTGTAAGTACATGAAACATAGTTTATTCTTGTATTATTATTATTATTATTCATTAATTATTGTATTTTTTTCCACACGAACAACTGTAAAACTACTTTTGCCCACTCCTGTATAGAGCTTTTTTTGTGGGTTGAATGCTTAGATATTGGAAAGCCTATTTTTATTATGGAAAATTGTAAGTGTGAATTTCTATATCTTTTTTTATAAGAAAAATAAAGGCCAAAGTTTAGATTTTAATTTTTTGAAACAGTATTCAAAATGCATAAATATTAAAAGTCATCCCCTAGCCAGGTGGCTCAGTTGGTTGTAGCATTGTCCTGTGCTACCAAAAGTTTGCGGGTTTGATCCCTGGGCAGGGTGCATATGGGAGGCAACTGTTTCTTTCCCATATTGATGTTTCTCTCCTTCTCTCCCTCTCTCCCCCCCCTCCCCCTCCCTCTCTCCCTCTCTCCCTCCCCCCTCCCCCCTCTCCCCCTTCTTTCTCTCTCTCTCTCATCCATAAACATATCCTCGGGTGAAGATTTAAAAAAATGAAAAAATAAAAAATAAAAGTCATGATGATTTGGTGTCTTTTATTCTTTTCTAATTTTCATATACTTCATAATTGAAATTGCAACAGTTTCAAAATATATAGTTAAGCATCATGGTCAGTTAGGTTTTGTTTTGTCTTTTTAAATGTGCATGGTAATTCTCTTTTATAAAATATAAAAAGTGTGCAAAAATTTTAACGAAGTATTTGAG